AGGGATGCAACACAAATGTATTTTCAGATCCATAAAATCATCAAACGGTTTCTGAGGTATTTACAAAAAACTGAAAATGACAGATTCTATTTTTTTTTGCTCTACTGCCTTCATTTTCAATAATATAAATAATTTTCAGTTTTTTGCAAATATCTCAGAAACCGTTGATGATTTTATAGATCTGAAAATACCAGGTCCTTGTAGGATCTACCGTTTCCGAGATAGCAATAGTGGTATCAGCTAAAAAATACAGCCTGTATAAGGGCTAATATAATCAATCATTGTTAGTTTAAGTATAAGTTTGAAAATGTCCTTATAGGACGAAACAGCAGTAATGTTAGTTACAAATAAAAGTGGTAAAAAACATAAAAAATGTCAATTCTCTTTTCTTCATTATTCGTTAATCAATTTTTATTTTGTTCCCTCCAAAGTAGTCCCCCTCGGCCATTGTTTTTTTCAATCCTCGAAGCAGTTATGACATGCACTCTTTGGTAAGTCCTTGAGCTCTCTTAGCGATTCGATTTTTATCTCCTCAATCGTTACAAAACACCGTCCTTTCATGGGTCCCTTCGATATTGGGAACAGAAAACAGTCGCAGGGGGCCAAATCTGGTGAATACGATGTCTGAGGCATGTCTGTTGTTTTTGGCCAAAATATCACTACCATGCAATTAGCAGGTGCATCATCGTGATGCATTAATTTTTTCCACAATACCTGTCGTTTTCTTTGCTTGCTTCTCGCAAGCGGCGCAAAACTTCAAGATAATACTTCTTATTGACCGTCGTAAGAACTCCTGAGGCACTACGCCACGGTAATCGAGGGAAACTGAGCTTTTTTTGGTCTGGGATCTCCTGGCTCTTCCATTGGGACGATTGGACTTTGGTTCCGATGTCATATAACCACATACCCAAGATTCGTCACCAGTTATGACCTTTTAAGCAAATATGGATCGCCGTTGACGTAATTTCACAACTCCTGAGCGATTCTCATTTGACGGTTTTGTTTGTCAAAATTAAGTAATTTTGTAAGAAACTTAGCCGCTACATGCTTCATGCCAAAAATTTCCAAAAAAATTGCATGGTATGAGCCAACTCATATGCCGATATCCTCGGCAACTCCTCTAATAGTGATTAGACAATTCTCCATAACAATTTTTTCAACATTTTCATCGGTTGTTGTGTGCTGGAGCCTCCAGGATGAGCGTCGTCATTCAGATCTTCTCGACCTTCTGTGGATAGCTATACCATATTTTTCTGACTCATAGTAGAACCACCGAAGCCACTGTCAACATTTCAAGAGTTTTTGAGCACTCAATTCCATTTCTTACACAAAATTTAATGCAAATTCTCTGATCTATTTTTTCGATAGCAGAAAATCACCAAACACGCAAAACACTAATACATCACATCATAGTGCAGTGTCCAGTGTTTCAATTAGTAAGGGAAATGTGCAAAATATCGACGGAATCGCAGGAAACCTTGAGTTATTTTAGTGCTAGCAAGATTTTAAATTATTGAAGTGCTCTGAACTTATCTAACAAAATATAATATTGTAATCAATATAGTTACTATACTTGTAAATATCTTTTCCGCCGCTAATAACCATAAGGTTGATGCGGTTAATTTCAAATAAACAAAAAAACTTCCAATTTCTATGCTTCTCACAAATGTTCCAGACGAGGGTACCAACATAGGAAAATAAAAATCGCTAATCCAATTTACATAGCCCGCGAAATTTGAACTATCACCTCACTATTTGAGCTATCCACGTATATCCTGAAATTAAAGTAATAGGTTTTTTTGCTGATTGAAAACTAAAATATTACCAGAGAGTTTCGACTATAATTTCTACAGTGTATCAATTTTAAAACTTACAATGGGTTATATCTCACGAACGAAAGCTGATATCGAAAAATGTTTGAAACCGTTTCTAGGATAGTAAGGGGGAACTAAAGTGACATGAAAGAGAACTGACCCCTATCAACCCCCTAGGCCCCACCCACCAAAACTCAAAAAGTTTAAATTGCAAACTCCTACTTGTGATATATCATTGAAAAGACTATATCCAATGGTATAAATAATAATTGTACAGGTTGAAGTAATAATTGTGAAACTTTGGCTAGAATGGAATATTTAATGAGGTTTTTGTTAAACTACAAATTTAACAAAAATGTCAATTAACTAAATGTTCAAAGTGGGTTCCGTTGTTTTGTAAACAATAATACAGCTTATTGTCAAAGTCTGCACGAACTTTAATATCAGCCGGCTTACTATGACTTTTTTATTTGTAATGCTACTTCCCGAACTATTATTTCAGAAGATAAGTGTTCGTCGATACTTTTTTGTTAAATAAAAAGTTAATTTGCCGTTTTTGCAAAACAAGTTGGGAAGATCTGTTTTTTGGATTCTGTCAGAGTCAATAATTTTTGGTTTGTTTGAGACTTTTAAATGTTATCATTTGTACGATCTGTACTGTCATTCAGCTGTAGTTGCCACGATGGTTTACAGTATACCTGAGCACGTGGAAATTATTTTCATATTTGCCTCCCAGAACTAGTGTCATTTGAAAACACAGCTCAAATATTTCATGAAAGGCATCCGGACAAAAAGGAAAGTCACGTGTACGTCCTCGATTTAGTTGAAAAGTTTAGAGAAACGGGATCAGTGCAAAATAAAAAAAAGGATGCCCTAAGATTACTGAACGGAGCAACCCAAATTGAGGTCCTTGGAAATTTTGCAATGGAGCTTACTACATCAACACGTCAAGTATCTGCAGTGACAGGACTTTCACATGAGTCGGTTAGAAAGGTGTTGGAATTACATAAGTTTCACCCGTACAAAACACAAATTCTTCAAGAACTAGGCGATGATGATTTAGATCGACGAATTGAGTTTTGTGAACTCATGACTGAAAGAATTCGCTTTGAACCGAGAATGTTAAAAAATATTTGTTTCAGTGATGAATGTACTTTTATGCTGAATGGTAATGTAAATAAACAAAATTGTCGGTACTGGAGTGATGCGAACCCGCATCGATTCAGAGAAGGTCACTCAATATCCTGAAAAACTGAATGTTTGGGCAGGAATATTAGGCGATGCTATAATTGGTCCCTTGTTCATACCAGGCAATTTAAGTGGCGAAATTCATCTCGATATACTGCAAAACACCATCATACTTTAAATTGTGCATGAATTTGAGAATCAAAAGGACGGCTTACGCAACCTAGCTGTAGACGAAGATTTGCTGAACTTCCAACAAGATGGAGAACCTCCTCACTATGCAGCTCCAGTTAGGCACTGGTTGGATAATAATTATCCGAACAAATGGACTGGAAGGAGAGGTCCCATTGAGTGGCCACTGAGATCACCAGACTAGGCCATCTGACTTTTTTCTGTAGGGTCACCTCAAGTCAGTTGTTTATAAAACTCAACCTCCGTCACTTGGGGAATAGCGAGAAAGAATTACGCAAGCATGTCGCGCCATTACTAAAACAACATTTCCCAGAGTTCGTGCAGAATTTGGAAATAGGCTGTATCATTGTTTATAAAACAACGGAACCCACTTTGAACCTAATTGACATTTTTAATAAATTTTAAATATTTCGTTCAGAAAGAAAAGTGTAACCAAATTCATTATTTAGCATACTTTGCACTTTTGACAGAATCCTGTATATTCTTGAATGCTCTTTTCAATTACATTTTTAATCCATTTCTGCCAGTTTTCTTTGATAATATTGGATACTTCTTCTTTAATAAGCTCTATTACTTTCTTATCAAATTTTGGAAAATTATTTTTACGCCTGTATTTTGTTTCAATTTTCCTCAAATCAACCCGATGGTATTGAAAACACAAAAATAGGGTGATGATGATTCCATACTTTTGAGCAATACTCTCAAGGGTATACACTTTTTGTAATGTTTTCGTCTGTAAAACTTAAAGTAGTTGGTTTTTGGGATAGTAATGTTCAAATTACGTATTGTTATGTAATAAAAAACTTTGTATTTCATCTTTCCTCGAATTTTATTTATTGTCACGAACTATTACACTATTCGCATCCAAATTTGAGATCAATGTGTTTTCAAACCATTCTTTGAAAATATTAGTTTCCGTGTTCTTATGATAGTCAACATTACAGTCCTCATTTTTTTTTCCACCTAATTTCAAAGAATTCGGAACCCATTCTTAACTTCCTCCGCAATGCACAATGATTAGTCGCGATCCTTTGTTTGCAGGTATGTTTGGCGTACATATTTTCGAACCGTCAGTCCACCCTTACGTATTTGTGTCGTTAGTGTCATACGAAGTTTCGTCCAAGAATAAAATTTTGCTGTTGTTCTTGTCTATATTTGGTTATTTGTTTCAAGTTTTTGTTACACAATTCAACTATTTTTCTGCTTTCCATAACCGCTTGACGGTAGTTTCTTATTTTAAATCTAAATTCTAGTTTCTTCATCCAATTCTGAAGAGTTTTGTCACAGCAGCTCACGTTATGGCCGGAAGAATTCAATTTCTTCCTTATGAGTTCAGTTGTAGGAATCTCATTGCTTTTGTAACAGTTGTATGTTTGTTTTCTCAATGATTTTATCAGATGGACATCTGAAGGTTTTGGTAATCCTGTATCACATCGCATCTTGCGTTCATATGGTTTATTTTTGACTATTTTACCTACAGTTGAGAAAGTCGGTCAAATCTGATGTTTCTTGTAATAGTTTGTTTCCCTCGAAACCAAACTTGAGATGTAGATACTTATATACATTGAAACATATTCTCTGTGTTTCAATATTCAAATTCATCCGAATCGTATTCACTGGTATCTCTTTTTCGCACGTACACGTGGACTAGTTCGGCTTTCTATGTATTGATTTTTTTGGCCTTAGAGAGTGCTGACAACTTTAAATATGCACAATAGAGTTTACTTAGACTATACCTCCGTTGATCGTTCTATAATGATATGGCATGTTCTAGGATGTCCCCGAACAGTTCAGATTATTTCAGAACATTCCAGAATGTTCCGGAATGTTCTGGAATTTTGTGGAATGCTCTTAAATACTCTCAATGGTTCTAAACTGTTCAACAATTTTCAAGAATGTTGAAAATTTTTGTTCTTATATCTTCAAAAGAACTCTTTTCAGGAGGAAATGAAAACATTCTCCATGGAGAGGAGATAAAACGGCTATTACAACATATAACTACTCCCTTAATATTTTCACAACGATTTGAAATGTTCTCGAATATTCCAGATCATTACTGAACTATCTACCATTTTCCAGAATTTTGTGGACTGCTCTAGTGCACTTTCAAATGCTCCGGACTTTTGGATATTTAAATGCGAAATTTCCATATCGAGATTTTTTAAAAGTCACTCAATTAAATTCTCACAACTGTTGATTGTTACAGAATAATATTTCTTGTTCCAACCCTATTTTAAATTTACCGTTGAATAAAACTTTTTGTGAATTACTATTTTTTTTCAGGCGTTCAAAAATGAGGCAGTACGAAATCAACAGATAATCAACAATAATTCATATATTCATAGAATGGATAACATTCTGCTTGCTCTGGATGATTCTAAAATGTAAGTAAAGTATTCACCAGATCCAGTATTATGTTTCAGAAATGATATGGTATAATTTGAGTGTATGAAAAAATGCTACTATAGCCAAAACTTCTTCGGATATTCATCGAGAAATCAATTGATCTAGAAAAGTCAGAAAACTGGATATGTTTTTCTTTTTCTTTTCTAAGAAAACTGCTATGAGATTTTTTCTCTATGACCAGAATAACTGAAGAGGCGACTTCAGTTGTTCGTTGTACGTATTTTTCTAACTGAGAAAATAAATGTGTTGATTATACTACACCTAACTTCGAAACTAATCTTGTACTACAACTTATCGTAAACAAGTAGGTTTATGTTATTTATATTTAATGGAAATTTGCATAAATGTCTGTTGAATAATTTTTAATGTCCACACTAATATTATTGTGGTGTAAAAAAAGTACCTCAGCTCAGGAATGACAATTGACATCAAGTTATTCAGTTATTCTAACAAAAATAATTATTGTTGTTGTCTTATTCAAACCTAAAATTTTTGGAACACTTGGAAATTTTCATTTTCTCAATTTGTTAGGCTAAAAATTCGTAGAGCGAATTAAAAATAAACTCTACTGTTTGAATAGTATTACAGATGTCATCCCCTAAATGTAAGGTGAATGAAATATTATATACCTATTGTGTAACTGCACCAATGCCATAAAGTGATTTCTGATTAGAAAAGGTTACTCTTGAGCGGAAAATTCAATTTTTTGTTGCCACTATCTGCCCGGTCTAAAATGTATGGTATGTTAACAAAAGTCACTTTTTCATTAAAAAATAATGAAGTAACTACGTTTTATGAGTAATCAAATCACCACCCCTAGTTTGTGGTGAGGAGTTGATCTCACGTTTATCACCGCTTGCACCAAACGATTTATATGGCGTGACAAAATAAATTACTCTTGCTGATATGAAGATCGAATTCATAATATTTGCATATTGAGGTCACGTTTCCGAAAATGAAAATTGTTTCTATTTTCATGTCCCACTTTTTTAAGATATTTGTCATAATTAGTATTGATCCAAATGATAATTAGAATCGAAACTTATAATACCGTTCAAGACTTTCCATAGTTTTTCCTCCCAATTTAGTTGCTGCTTTAACTTTTCCATGACTTTCACGTCCACCACTTTCAACTGAACGCATTAGGCATCAACTCATTTTCTACCTTTCTAAGAGATATCATATGACCTTCCAAAAAATGTAGTATGTGCTTGGTGGTCTATTGCTTTCATCCACCCATCTGCTATAATTGAACAGCAATACAATACGGAAACACCTCTGTTTTGTCACAATGACAATTCAAAAAAGTTATAGTTCCATAATGAAAATCATTCAAACTACTGTCAATCTAAATGTCACTCAGATCCAACCATATAAATTGGTTTTAAGCACAGATAACAGCAATAAAACTTCAGATTGGTAAACCAGACGCTGCTATACCTAAATTTTGTTTCCTTGAGTGGTATTTAGATGACAGCTCAATCGGTCAGTTGCCACAAATTGTGACACATTTGATGAAACATGTTTCATAGTTTAACAAGTGATTTGGTTTGAAGTACCTTTGAATCTAGTTTATTTATTTCATCTCCCTGAATATTTGCTGCCTAGGATTCAGTTCATGTGTTGAGTTAATCATTAAGTGGAATTGAAATGAAAGACGATTAAGATCCCAAAGAAAGTGTTGTGTTAAAAACTGCACCGACACAAATAGTGAAAGAAACCGACCGCTCTCCTAAAAACGAGCCGGACATTTACCAAGCTAGGATTGATGGAATAAAACCCTCTTTTCACGGAAAACTATCTGTTCAGCAGGTTTATGACAAATATGTTGTTTGCGAGTCACATTTTTCTCACTGATGTTTGATGGGACGGTAGCCGGTACAAGTCGTGAGGCCAGACGATCGATTTTCACTACCTGTCATCTAACCCATGCTAGAAAATCGCACGTTGAGAGGTAAGACCTCGTTATTACCCAGCTAGCATAAGTTTCGACTTTTTGGGCGCCTGATGACGCTATTGTATAGCAAAACACATGTTGCGTTTTTTTGAAACTGTTTAGGTGAAAATACCACAATGGAGTGTTCCTTGAATATAACTGAATTTTTCATGTTTCGGATGAGTGACGTAACCAGCCACCTCCCCCCCCCCGTGCAAAGACTTGTTTCTAATTGATCATCAATCGACGCGTCAAGATCAAAGAGTTTCAAATTTGATTACTAAAGCAAATGATCGAAATGAAATTGTATTTTTTCTCTTGTGTCTTAATCCTCTTTTATATGTGTCTCTAGAATGAAAAACTTCTTCAGTCTACCTCGTCTAGTTTTACTTTCGAACCTTTCAGTATATATTGAAAAAACACGCTCTCTTTCGATGATACCTGTTCCCAGAAAAACATCGGATTGTTATCTTTTCATTTACCTACTGATGGATTTTTTATTTGGAATTAATTTCGTTTGATATGTTTTCTTTTCTGGAGGGTAAATTAAAACTGTTATACATTTGTGAGTTCGTAATTTAAAGCTTTCACTTTCACCCTGTTTCGAAACTGATTTTGTTTTTTTTTAAATCGGACTTTCATAAAAGAAAAGAG